TTTTATCCATGTGTAAGTTCCCAGTATTATTCGTCTCCCAGTATATCGTGTTACCCGTATTACAGTTAACACTATGTAGGAGAAAATTATACATACATACATATCTGTCACGCCTGTCTCCCATTAGGGTAGGCAGAAACAATGGAACGCCAAATGCTTCGATTGAAACAAACCTCTTTCGCTTCTTCCACATTCATCAATCTTTTCACACACGCTCGCCGGTTACGGGTACTTTTAATTTGGCCCTTCTTCAGCACGTCGCCTATTTGGTCGACATACGTCCGTCTAGGGCGGCCCGTACCGACATCTCCATTCATTCTTGCTCGATAAATCTATTTCGTAATTCTTCTTTCATCCATCCTCTCCAAATGACCAAATGAGAAATTTATATTATAAGATTAAAATGAAAAATAAAAACGATACAAAATACTTATAAATATATTTGAAAGAACAAGATAAACCGTGCATAATGATTCGTAACAATGCTTATCTTTATGAGTACTTTCATTTACATTTAAGTATAAACATAATATATGCTTTCGTTTATAAATCATTGAAAATGGCCGCAATTTTGATTAATGTATTTATATTCATTTATAAGCTACATGTACATATGTATATTTCATTAAATCAGAAAAAAAAAGAGTAATTAATTAATATTATAATAATATTGTTGACACTAATCCCAGACCTACTAATACGTAGTAATATCAAATGAGATGAAGTACATTCATTGACTTGAAATTGTAAATGACATATTGTTTTGTTATAAGAATTCTTAATTTAATATTTAAGTATTTAAAATTTTGCATGCCTAATTGTGGCGAAATATGTGGACTTAATATTATTTTATCTATCTGTATATTTACCATATTTCTTGCAAATAAATATTCATTCATTCATTCAATAGTTTCAAACTCAAATCGACCTAATCTGTGAAATTTTTAATCCAATTACTTGAAACACTGGAAACGAAACGCGTTTTGTTTTGAATTTAAAAAAAAAACATTACTCAACTAAAAGTTAAATTAGCTGACTAAATTTTGGCATGTTTTTGATCACCTTGTTTTTAGAATCAAGTACATGATCCGTGAATTGTAATGTTGTATTATAAAAGAACATCTAATTTCACGCTTGAAACTCGTGCATTGCGATGTTCATATTACCTAGTATTGGGCAACTAACCACAGTAACACGGGTTTTGCAAACTGTTTTTGTTACGATTTGTGAATAAACTTTTGTACGTAAAATACACTAAAAATATACTAGCAACATACTAACTTTTACCAGCGACTTCGTCTCTCGTCACAAGCAAACATACCCGGTTTTAGATTTATAATATGGTAAGAAACTTATGCAGAGTTATTAACTCTTGTTTAAGATCTATTTTTATCTGGTATCACTTAATATCGATCTAACGCATTGTTAATCGATCGTGTGGTCCCAGCATAGAATGGACCAGCCCTTCGGTGTCGTAAGAGGCGATAGAAATCTTAATAGTAAAAAAATAGGCAGCAGCGTCTATCTTAAAACATCACTAAAACCTAACTGCGGTTGCCACACTTGGCAGTGTGACAACTATTGATAAAACCCCTCCAAGGGAGGTCTAATGTCCAGCAGTGGACAGTTAAGAGCTGATATGATGATGATCAGAACAATGTCAAGTGATACAAAAAAAAAAACAAAGTTCTTAAATTGTTTGTATTTTATGTGAACGTTATGTGATTCTTCTTCACCCATTTTACTAACGTAATACCATTGAAACTAGACGGTGTCTGTACATGGATCAATATATATATATATATATATATATATATATATATATATATATATATATATATATATATATATATTAGTATATTTGTCTGTTTGTCTAACTGTATATTTATCTCAGTATTTAACAAAAACCACTGCACCAAATTATATGCGGTTTTAACCTAACTTAAAATCTGGTGTATGTTTATATGTGTATACATGATCTAGAAATGGGTTGTTTCATTGTTTTCCCACTTCTAAAACGTATGCGTACGAAGTATCAGGCAAAATATAATTTTAAATGTACTTGAGTTTTCTTGATTTATTCCTGTATTGATCTGTATTAATACTGAAATATTTGAAGCTAGTATTTATTTATTTGGCATGAAATCTTGAAGAAGAACAATGAACCACTTTTCTCTAATAAAATCTGAACTATTTAGAATAGTGGATAACAGAATACTATTTTTTAAAAGTGTCAGTTTTGGAGACGAGACGGTTACATAAATACACATTATTAGATACAAATGTACATTGATAAATTATTACGTGTCCACATGTAACACATAAATAAATATGACATAACTGCACTGTATCTATAGTAGTTATATAAGACATTAGTGTAAAATTGGGACTTACGTCAAATGTTAACAAGTCATATTTTGGCTTGTTTGTTATCATACAAAACGTAAAGGTAGTGCACCTTTATGTAGTGAAAATAAGAGTGTTTTTTTTAAACGACTTAGTCCTAATTCCAGGATTAAACTCGTGCTTTTAATATTTTGACAGAGGGGAACGCGTCTTTCTTTTGTTGTACCTATGTGCGTAGAGATAAATATACATCGTCCATATTCAGATTAGACTGCGATATATTTGTACAATTTTGTAACAGTCTTTTTTTTTATTTTTGTAAATTTGATAGTTTTTAGATAATTTAATCAATAAGGGATCCGAATATGATGATTCGACCCAACACAATTAATTTCTTACTATAAAAATGGATAATTGTTTACTTTATCTTCGTTCGAAAATCTGAATACTTTTTTCTTTCATATAAGTACATCTGTCTATTAGATTTTATATATATAGAAGAATATATATTAAAATTTCGAAGACCTCTCTTTAAAATTTTAATTTAGAAACTCAGTGTGCAGTATGCTGTGGGCAAATAAAATTATGTCAAACAAGCAATTACTTTCATGTGAAGCCTTTAATGTGATGACAGTACGAAATATTCGTAGCGTCCCTAGCAACGTGATAGCGTGACAAAGGGAATACTCTCGAAAATTGGGTCGTGCTATGCGTGTCATTCTATTAGTAACGATTGATCCTTTGTTTTTTTGCATCCGAAAACATAAACGCTGTTAAAGATCTCTAGACGATTTACTAGGTGCATTATTATATATTACGTTTTCAACAATATTCTTTATTGTGTCGACTAAACAAAATAGCATAAAGACTTTACCTCGAATAAATATCTTCCTCGTCCCCGCTCCATTCACTTACCCAATCCATTGTCGTTACAACAGATTTTTGTTTCACAAATATCCTTAAAAAATCGGTGATTTTTTACCGAATTTTAGGAATGGACATTTATGGTGTACGCGTATCACATTACTGAATGCTGAACACGTAATAACCAGGGTCGAGCGCATCATCTCTAAATTGGGGCATCCAATCTTGAGCCTCCTACGTTGCTCTGTTATCCCAATAATGCTAATGTACGTACGACAATCATTATTAACATTGGACACGTCATTCGTACATTTCAGTCCTTTGAAGACTATGATCATGTCTGTATCACCATAATAACCCATTACAGTAACACCACTGGGCAGGGTTATCAAAAAATTCTCACGGTGACCAGGTGGCACGCAATAGGGGTATATTTTGAGTTTTAATTCTTTTACGCTGGAGTTCCTTTAATAGCCTTTACTGCATCATTGGGTTGGAATGACAAGGAGTAACACATTGCATTCTTACTCCGTCGCCACAGAGAGCATCTAGATAAATATATTAATACTGCGTTTTATGCGACTACACGCAAGCAGACTAAAAAGAACTGTATGACGTACGCAAGTGTAGGCATCATTTACGTAAAAATGTGAGCTTGGCACGCGTCCACATGATATGTTTCACATTACTAATTTGCGGGGAGCAATTTGAATCCATTGTGATAGTGGGCACGAGCGACAATGTCGGACGGAGCAACGATTCCTCCCCCGGTGAGTAACATTAATTTGTGAAAAAAAAAAAACTGGGCGCGTCGAACAATTAGTGCGCTGCTAATTTGATTGTCAGACACGAGCGATGAAATTAAAATCTAATAATAAAACTTTATTACAGCACTCGGACTGCGTCATTGTATTCGTACTAATCTTATTTATATGCATATTTACGTACTTTCTATTACACTTTCATAGCGAAAAAATTGAAGTTGATGGCAAATAAATATTTATAGACTACCTTGAATATTAAGATCATATTCCGAGTCATGATATATAAATGCAAATATAAAATAATTAATACCAGTTGTTTTGCAAAATATAGGGGTGCATATGACAAAACAGTAATAGCACGTCGAGAGAGGTACTTAATATTGTTCTTTAAGATAATAAAAAAAATATATATATGGATCTCAAAACTATTTGATAATTTACAAAATAACAAATTGAATACAACAAAACAATGATAGCATATCGGTAGTATACTTAAGTTCTTTGAGTTGGTATTATATTGTCCACACGCTTGGTGATAGGCAACTAGCATCCTTGCCCCCCTTTACTTATTCATAAAAACTAAAACCTTCTATAAACTTATTTTAACTATTACATTGTTTTTCCACTTTCTTTCAAATTGGGAATGTAGTGTAAGAGAAAGAGACAAAACAGTACAATAGCTAGGTTTATGAAAGATTTGACGTTTTTATGAATAAAGGGTATAGGCTATAAGGACGTCAGAGTGTCAGAGAAGTCATACCTAGTACACGATTATTGACTATAAATTGTTATTCTGACCTCTTTTACAAAAAAAAAAAACTATATCTAATATAATCACAAATATATAAAGGCATCCATGATCTTCATTAGGGAAGTGCTTATAACGTTCAAAAGTGGAAAATATGCAGTTTAATTTATAAAGGCAGAAATAATTGTACTAATATTATTGTTTAACCAATTCAGAGATTTAGCATGGGATTCGATGTTAGGTTACTGGGAGAGCAGAAATAAGCAAAAGTATCTGACCGTATGCGGTTGGTCTTGCGGTGCGCGGTCTCGACGGTGACGAGGAAGACGGCGTGGCTCCGCGACGAGTGCTCGTTCATGTCGGTGCGGCCGGCGGCACGGTTGCGGTTGCCCGCCTTCATCACGCGCACCATCTCGGCAGCCGACTTGCACACCACTGATGTCATCTCGGGGATGTAGAACCCGTTTAGTTCCTGCCGACAAATAAATATATTGACAATGTTGTAGTATATGGATTCTAGTTAGAATCTCCATCCTTTTATGTTGAGAGATATTAACAATTACACTTATATTTTACATGAAAACACCATTGGGATTTTTAATAACCAACTTCAGCTGAGAGTAAATCTATACAATTCCTAATTTTATAAATTTGAAAGTGAGTTATATCCATGGTACCCCTCATTTTGCCATTTTTTTGTACGTCGTAATACGAAAAAGAACAAGGCAGTTTACGGCCGTAAAGTGAATTGCCTGGAACTTGACTGGTTTTTTAAAAGTTTATAATACGACTGCTGAGGACTACAATTTTACGTCCCCGTATCCTTTAATTCCAATGCCATATCCATTTTTAACATATATGTCCTTCTATATATCAATCAGCGTAACCATTTCAAACTAGAAGTTTATATCGGAATTCTATTATTGATGTCAATGAAATCGGGCAGACGGCTGTGTAGCAGACTTTATTTATTTAAATAACCTGATTTTCAAATAGGGTATCGACAAATGAGAAAAATCTATACAAATAAATATTAAATGCAATTCGCTTCGTTAGTACTTTTTTTTTAATGAAAATGTATTACGATGTATTTCAAAAAATGAACGAAAATGTCAAAGTTAATTAGTTAAACATAAAGTATTTCCAATCATTGTCTTTAACACATACATTTGAAAAGTTATTCAATACGTAATCTCGTAAAAAAACTCCCATCATTATGGGGAATCCAAGTATTGAAAGAAAATTAAGTATCCATTATATAAATTAATAACAACGTCAATATTATAAAATATTCCTACAAAAGAATATTCTTCCCTGAAATAATTCGTTTTAATATAATCTTATTAGAAAGATGAAAATGTCTTATTTCAAACTTCATCATATTGTGATATAACAAATGTTAAGTTTTCATGCATTTTACACAAAATCAAAACGCATGACCGCCATGTTTTTGCACCAAGTGATAGAATAACAATCAGGATTCAAAGAAAGAGCTAGACTAATTGCCGATACGTAGATATTTGTTACATTACAATTGGGCAGTAGCGATCAATGACGGACTGACGGCACGCGCCGCCAATGCGTAGCATGATGGATGCGCCACAGTCAGGCGATTAAAATCTAGAATTTATACTGTGAAAACTAGTTATCGATTTAGCAACAATTATTTTACTACTTCAAAAAGGAAGAGGTATTATTTCGTCTATATTTTTTGTGTCCACCGATTTTAATTTTTTACAATTGTACTTAGTAATTATTTCGATGCGATTCAACAAAGAAATAAAATTTTTCACGATGGAAATTGTAGTTTTTGTACAAAACGAAGTAATAAGATAAAATGTGACGATCAAATAATGATAAAGCCACAAATTTCTTTTTATAAATGAAGCATTATATTTCCGTATTACTATATTTTATTTCCGTTACTATCTATCTATTTATCTTCACGCCAAGTCCCTTGCGGAAATATAATATTCCGTAACAATATTAAGCATTTGAAGGAGATTCTGTATAAAAATCTTCTCCTTGGATAGATATCTTTGTTGCATGGCTGTGTGTCGGTTTGATGGGTGAGATATGGTAATGAAATTACGGGGTACAGAGGCATAACACATATACACAATACAAAATATAGTAATTTTTTTTTTATACAACTTAGAATGGCAAACAAGCTGCCGGCCCACCTAATGGAAAGTGGTAACCGTCACCTATAGACATGAGCAGTACCATGGACATAACAGAGTATACTGTTTCGCCCATGATACCCCCCATGCGTTGCCATTCCTGAGGACTCAGGTGTTATTCCTCTGTACCCAGTAAATTCACGCCATACCCCACCCTTCAAACCGAAACACAGCCATGCAAACACAACTGCTTCACGGTTGAAACACGAATGGGCAGAGGTACCCAAGCAATCGACTTTTGTACAATACATTCCAAATTGTACTATTTTATGTAACAATTTGAAAAATCTGTGTGTTGAATTCAATCGCTAGTTCATTATGATTAATTATATCCTTGGTTTCAAGGACCACAGCTAACAATAACGCGGACAAAGGCTTTCGGATGCTATGTAATTGTTCGCGCGCAGTTTACATTACATAATTCGACATAGATAAACATAGATGCCTTAATATATTTACCTACTGTGTGTTTTCACAACACAACATTATATACAGGCTGAAATAGAACCCATTAATATTCTGCTAAAGAAGTGTTCTACAAATTAAATAAATACTTTTGTCATAGAAACTAGATTCGAAACACGATGAGATATTTTAATCTCCAACACTAGGGGGGGAAAGGGATTGTTAGTAATGGAGACTGAGAATCCTATTGCTAGCAATATACCCAACTAGGTCGATCTCCTCGCGGTTCCCCCTGGAAACTATCATGGTTAATTCCTGATGAAATTATCATGATGGGCTAACTGGCCTGTTTTCATTCTCATCTATCACCCTTCACTGGTGCTCCGCCAGCGTATCCCGTTAGCGCAGGCGGGGTTACCATACCATTTTCACCCATCAAAAAAAAATCTCCAACTTGACCATTGGTGTCGTGTTAGCGAGGGAAGCTCAAATTGTTTTATCCTTTTCGATAAATTTTTCTTTGCGACAGTTTTCATCTACACTGTTACAATATTAGCAGTTGGATTCCAATTACTACTCTAACGATTTCTATTTCACTTTATATCCGATTGATTTCTATTTACTTTATTTCGTAATTTTCGAATGCATTCGTCTACCGACAATTCAGTATTGGCGTTTTCATGCTGGCATTACAAATGCGCATTATGATTTAGTAAAATTGTAATATTCAATAGTTATACAAATTATAATTGTGAAAGAAAATACATAATACCTTTTATACCTTTATATGTATAAATTAACCTGTACTTCATGCTACTGTATTTTCAGTTGAATTGTTTATGTCATTGTTAATTTTTAAGTTTTTAGTGCAATAAAGAGTTTTTTTTGATGGGTGAAAATGGTATGGTAACCCCGCCTGCGCTAACGGGATACGCTGGCGGAGCACCAGTGAAGGGTGACAGATGAGAATGAAAACAGGCCAGTTAGCACATCATGATGAATTCATCAGGAATTAACCATGATAGTTTCCAGGGGGAACCGCGAGGAGGTCGACCTGGTTGGGTATATTGCTAGCAATAGGATTCTCAGTCTCCATTACTAACAATCCCTTTTCCCCCTGCAATAAAGAGTTAAATAAATAAATAATTAAGATACTTAAACCGTCCAGCAAGTCCTTGTTAGTTTTGCCTGTTAATGTTACACAAGTGCTATCTCTGTTACGGTTTTGACCTTAAAAGTCAAAGTGACTACGTATACTTGTTTGAATAAGGAAATATGAATACATATTATATAGATTTACAGTAATTTTGACTAATAACCAAAAAGTATTTCCTCAATTATGTATCAAAGTTTTTGCACAATTAACTCGCAAAGTCACAATGTGTAAAACGGAATTGGGTAATGTGTCATTACTCAGTATGTTGTCACATACATACATGTACATATTTATTTATAGTCTCATATTTATTTATTTATTTATTCTTTATTGCACAATAAAACTTTGTACAAGTGGCGAGCTTAATGCCATATGGCATTCTCTACCAGCTAACCATTGGGTAAAAACAGAAAGCGTATGAAGGGCAGATGTGGTGAAAAATATGTGACATAATTATAGCAACATACTGAAATAATTATACATAATAATACATAAGAAATAGACATATAACACATAAATACTACCTATGTATACAGTTTCGTCTGAACGCCACACCATAAACTATATGTTTATATTTCGCATTCAGTAAATTCCATAACTATGGGAACAGCATAAATATAATTCCTCAGGTTGACCACTAGATGGAGTTATTATGTATATGCTACAAGGCAATGTCAAGATTTTTTAACATGTGTATATAAGGTCAAGAATATATTGAATAAAAAAAATCTCTTCAAATACATTGAATGGAAAAAACTGCTACTTCTTTTATGTATCTTACTTTTCTTTCTCTTTTCTCGGCAGGCGGGTTGATAACTGCAGTTAGGCTTTAGAGATGTTTTAAGAGGAACGCTGCTGCCGATCCCTCGCCCTCCCTTAGTCGCCCCTTACGACACCCACGGGAAAGGAAGGGGTGGCATATTTTATGCCGGGGCCACACGGCAAGTAAATAATTTGGTGTAAATAATGCAAATAAATTATCTACGAGTATCTATCTATATGTAACTGATGTTTTATGGCATTCTCACTAATGCCCATGGATGTCTATCAGCTGTTTGTAGTATTACATCCTCATACATAGTTCAACAATTTAAAAACAAACAGTCGCTTAATTAATTTTAATTTGGTCAAATTCCGCTTTCGTTTTCACCACACGCGTCGCTTCACACAACACGACCGCAACCGACCGCTGATAACGAGCCATTGACGTTTTGTGCAAACGATCCGTTTACCTGTCTGGACAGTTACGGTTTTACTACTATATAAAGCACTGTCTAAGTGCATAAAATATTGTTTAGTCAGTGTATTCTTTATTTGCTATTTTATATACCAAAATATGTAAACTATTATAATAAATTTTATTGCTTTAAATATCTCTTTTTCAATAACATAGGCCCTACTTTGTTTAGACATAAATGGATGTTAGACACCCTTTTATAGTAAGTCGTCTGAATATGTATTGAACACCCGTCTATCGCAAGTATAACTCTTTAATAAAGGTAGGTTCCTTCTAATCTCTCGAGGCAATTCCCTTAATAATAACATATAAAATGAAAAGTTATTTGACTATAGTCAATATAGATCCTTTGTCATTACTTCTTGAAGACAATACGTATCTTTTATCCAATACATTTAAAGTTCTAGAATGGAACACGCCTCGCTCTCACTAGTGTTCCTGTCGCCAAGCAGCTGTGCTAGCATGACTGTTAATCAGAAATTTGGTACAAA